ACCCTAAGTACCAGCCATCTCTTTTGTCTTCAACTCAGTCTGAATACATTCCCAATTCTGTCACTCAAATCTGTGGCAGTGCTCCACAGAAAAGCATCCCGGGTAGACTGAGGCTGTTGGAAATGGAGCTTGTTTGCTCCTAGAAAGACTATGAAGCACTGTTACTTGAGACCCTGTTGGTTATTATCTCTGTGAGGAAGAGCAGTGTACTGAAGCAGTTGCTGATTTTAAGCAGCTTTCTTCTCAGATCTTCTCATCAATTTAATTTTCTCTAACTTTGTTCTCCCCTGAAGTCTATCACACTATGGCCCAGTTACTTCCAACTTATTTTTTTTCCAGCCATCAGACCCATGCAGATAGATATGTGCCTTAGAGTGACGTTTCTATGTTGGCATTTTAGAACCATAGCCAAAACTCATGAATTGTCTCACTTTTTAAAAAAAAATTCAGTCCAATAAAATAAGATTTGGAAGATTTTTTTCCTGGTGATTAAATGACTAAATGTAGGAAATTTATCAATATAGATGTTTATTACTGAAAAAGTTTCTTCTCCTTCCTCACTAGAGTACTTTCTATCATGGTGTGGCTTATTTTAAAGGGACGAAACAATATATTTCACAGAAAATATGCCCATTTTAAAGGAATGAAAAAATACTTTTTACAAAAAGGAGTAAGTAGTTCAATAAAAATGGGTTATCGGAGACTTGAAATATGGGGCAAAAGAGGATGATATCTTTTGGGCCAGGAATGATATACAGAGCCCTGAAGCCAATAGTTAAAATATGGCTCATGCTGTCACAGCATATTATTGAGGAATTGTTCGCTTCTGCAGTGGCTCCTAGAATCTGATTATCTTAAATGTGGAATTAGGCAGTTATTTAGAGATAATATAATATTGTAATATATACATCTTATACACAAAAAAAAAATGTCAAAGAAAAAAGTTTAGGAGGACTTTCTATTTCATAGGTTATGGAACCAACTCTAAGAACAATTTAATTTCTTGTCTAGTAAATTCTTCTAGAGGGGTTAAGTAAATGCCTATAAAATATGTTCTTGTAACAAAAGGTCTGCAGCCAACTTTCAGTTTGACTTCATTGATCAAAAGGATGTGGTTTGAAGGCTGTTTCTTTTCCCTCTTAGATAATGAGAAAGTTAGACAGCTGCTTCTGGAGGGTGTACCCGTGGAGTGTACGCATAGCTTTATATGGAACCAAGATATCTGTAAGAGTGTCACAGAAAATAAAATCTCGGATCAGGTAACTAATAGTCTAAGGATTATTGGTTAAGCCATGAGAGGTTAAATTCATCATTGTAGAGACCATAAAAAGTTATTTCATACTTTATGGAATCTCATAGACTTCCTTTTACTTTGAGATGACTTGTGGATTACTTACGTATGATACGTACTATGATTTTTTTTTTTTTTTCTGTTCTTAGGGATAATCTAAGAATAAGGATAAGAATCTCAGAATAAGATAATAATCTTATCTATTATCTAAGGTTAAGAATCTAAATATAAGGATACATATTGTGTTTTTTCTCTGGAAAAAGTTAATACAAAAGACTTTTTCTTGAAATGATCTCATGGTTTACATGTTTTTCTGTTATTGTTTTTTTCCCTTAAGTGTTGTCTGTCTTTAATTTTACAGTGATTGAGCTACCACCAGGGCCAGATGTTGTGTTAGATGCTGGGATAGATAACGAGGATATGGTCAGAGCAATACAGGGTACTAAGGAGGTCTGAGCCCAGATGAGGGAGATTGAGGTCGGTGTCCTGGATGGAGGAGCTGATATTTGAGCTGACTCTCAGGTGGGAGTCAGGATTAATCAGACTTGTTGGGGGCATGATCAAGACTACAGTTGAGAAAGGATTTCAGGAAGTGAGAACAGCATGTATAAGGCTCAGGCCCAAAACAGGATGATGTGTTCATGAATCTCCAAGTAGATCAGGAGCTTGGAGTGAAGGATGGGGCAGGAGATGAAACTGAAGAGATAAATAGGGGCCAGAGCATAAAAGACCTTGAGGCATTTTAAGGATTAGGACTGAAGATGTAGGACATCATTGAAGGTTTTAAATCAGGCCATGACATGATGAGATGTCACTCTGACAGCAGTAAGGAGGGTGGATTAGACCAGGGATGGTGATGGTGGGAGTGGGGGAGCTGGAGAGAAGACTGGGTTGGAGGGCTTTAAAGAGACCCTTGAAATAATCCAGGTATGACATTATAGGGGCCTGAATTGTGGCAGTGTGGTGGAGTGGAGGGGTTAGGGTTTAATACATATTCCTGGAAGGTAAAACGTACAAGGCTTGGTGATTGATTGGAAGATGAGAGGTAAAGAAGGAGGAGACTTGTAGATTAGGATCTCTGTTAAAAGAGAGCCAGAGCCATGTCTGACTTGTTCACTGCTGTGTTCCCAGGTTCAAGAAAAGTGCCTGGTAGATAGGAGGCGCTCAGTAAATATTGGAAAGAATGAATGAATGAACTGTGTGAACTGTGGTGTCCTTCAGCTAGATGGGGACTACAGGAGAAGAGCAAACACAGTGGGAAGGATGAGCTCAGCCTCGGATAAACTGAGTTTGCTGGGCTATGGGACTTCCCAGGAACAGATGTCTAGGAGATAGGTTTCCATCCTAGTTGGAAAACTCAGGGCTAAAGAGATATGTATTTTGGAATGAACAATATATAGATGGAAGGGTTCTGATCCCCGTAATGGCCAGCCACCAAAAACAAAAACAAACAAAAAAACCCCCAATATATAGATGGTAGTGGAAACTCAAGCAAAGGTAAAAAAGAATTAGGACTTGGTCGTGGCTTGAAGAGCATTCATTAGGTGGTGATTAGACTTTATAACATGGAGGCAGCGTCTTGTGTAGTTTTCTAAATTGAGTGGTAACCCTCTCGCCTGTTAATCTCTTTCTATAGCTGGCAAGAAAAGTCTGAAAGGACATTGTTATCCACTCCCTACATCCCATTTAACAAATAACTGATAGCATCTTCTATATTAAATCTTTAAGACCTGGTGGGAAATTTTCTCAAGAGCTGGAGTATTTTTCCAATAGCCTGCCCTTGCAAAGTTGTCACTTAGTTGTTTATACCATTGTTACTTCATGACAACAAATTTTAATCAAAATAAATATACAGAGTATTAAAATATAAGATTGATCTTGATATCAGAGATGAGTAACAATGAATATTTATCATTTTATAACTTTGAATCATCTAGTTATCTTTTTTTGTGGCTAGCCAGCCTGGAGAACCAAACCCTTGACCTTGGTGTTACAAGGCAGCACTGGAAAATCTTTATTTACAGTAGTACTTTGTACTTATAATGGCTCACATTTAATTATTCAGATTTTTTTTTAACTTTTTAAAAGAGCATTTAACTTTCTAAATCTGCTTATAGGGAGACCCAGTAGAATCTCCCAGAAGCCTAGGGTTGTTTGTCTTGAATTATTTTCTTCCACTTTAGGATTTAAACCGGAAGAGAAGTGAATTGCTGGTGCCTGGGTCACAGCTTGTTTTAGGTCCCCATGAATCCAAGATACCTATACTTTTGATTCAACAGCCAGGAAAAATGACTGGTGAAGACCAGCTAGGCTGGGGAAGTGGCTGGGATGTCCTACTCCCAAAGGGCTGGGGCATGGCTTTCTGGATTCCATTTGTAAGTTACTTTTTGATTCTGACTAATAGTTACAACATTTAAAACACATTCCTAATGAATACTAAGTACTGAAAATGTTCTAGACTTTATGTACAACTTAGAAATTGAGTGATATATTTCTGCTCTTAGACCTGTAATCCTGGATACAAGATACTTATACTGTCCTGGGAACCAGGTTCTCATTAATAAGACCTGTGCTGAGAAAGTTGTGAATTTTCGAGGTTTTTAAAGTGGTGTAATTTTTGAATAGGAGTGGAAACAACATATTAAGGTTTTCCACTTGAAGAAATTTGTTATAGTTTAAAATCTTAAAAGACTTTTACAGATGTATATAGAATACATTTTTTTTTGTTTTTAAAATGTTAGCTATAACCATATACAGTCTGCCCTTTGTGTCTGTGGGTTCCGCATCCATGAATTGAACCAATCACAGATCAAAAATATTCAGAAAAATAAAAAATAACAATACAACAATTTTTTAAAAATACAAAAATTCCCAGTACAGTAGGACAGCTATTTACATAGCATTTACATTGTATTCAGTGTTATAAGTAATCTAGAGATGATTTAAAGTTACAGGAGGATGTGTGTAGGTTATATGCAAATACTACACCATCTTATATCAGGGATTTGAGCATCCGTGGATTTTGGTATACCCCTAGGAATCCTCAGTCCCCAAAGGATACTGAGGGAGGACTACTCCTATGTATCAATTGCAGCTAAAAATTCTACCAAGATTAAATGTGGTTTTATTTTTTCTGATTAGTTTAATTGTTACTTTAATGCCAGAGGTGTAAAAGGCATGTAAGGCTGTGCCAGATAATTAATTTTTAGCAATTATGCTTAATGCAAGGGACATTCAGTTAATCATTTAGGAGTGAAAATATTTTTAAATAATTCTACTTAATTTTTTACTATGAAATGTTACAAATATACAAGAAAGAATAGATACTGATACCATGATTGCTTATGTGCCCTTCACTCACCAAGCAGCTTGAGAAATAAAACATTACAGATTAATTGGAAGTACCCTGTATACCTCTCTCCAGTCTCATTTCCCTCCCTCCTTCTGAAAAAATTACTATTCTGATTTTGGTGTTTGTCTCTACCATGTATATTTTTATAGCTTTATTAAGTACGTTTGTATCCCACAATAAAATTACTGTATTTGACATATTTGTAAATGACATACCTTACTGTGTGTATGCTTTTGCAACTTGCTGCATTCACTTGGCATTGAGATTTTTTCATATTGATTGATAAAGCTTGATTTCATTCATTTTTACTATCGTATGGTAATTCATTGTAGCATTATCCTACAGTGTATTTGTGCATTCTCCTTCTGATGGCTATTTTGGTGGTTTCCCATTTTCCCCATATAAACAATTAAGCAATTTCATTTTAAGTTGGTAAATTAACAGTATCTTTTTGACATTTCTTTGAGATCTACCGAGGTGCAAGAGTTGGAGGATTAAAAGAGGCTGCAGTACATTCTCAGTATAAAAGGTCACCTAATATCCCAGGTGATTTCCCAGACTGCCCTGCTGGGATTCTGTTTGCTGAAGAGCAAGCTAAGACTCTGCTTGAAAAGTACAAAAGGTAAGAAACTGGCTTCTCTGGTTTGATAACGTCTCAAGGGGAAGAGAAGAAGTGTCTGTTCACATTGGCCAACGATGTTTGGGATGACTTTGGTAACTTCCTATATAATGTGGAGTTTTCATAGCCTTTTCCTTGAGTTTAACATTACTAAGAAAAATTTGAGAAGATATTACTTAAGTGAGGAGATTGTCTTACATCTGTCTGGTTTTTATAGGCCCGTCAGGGTTCCAGCCCTTCTCTTGGTTATTTGCTTCCATTGGTAATGGAGTGCGCCTAAACCGTGGACGTGAGTTTCAGACACTTTTTAATAGATTCCCACTACCAGTGCCCTGCCCCACGTCCCCACCATGGAAATTGTGTTTTTAAAAAGCTGATTATAGAAGCAATACGTATTTATAAAATTTTAATGAAACTATGGAAATATATATTAATACTTTGTAAACTGGTGTTGTCTTACCAGTGCCCTGCCCCGCGTCCCCACCATGGAAATTGTGTTTTTAAAAAGCTGATTATAGAAGCAATACGCATTTATAAAATTTTAATGAAACTATGGAAATATATATTAATACTTTGTAAACTGGTGTTGTCCTGCCATCCAGAGAGATAAGCACTGTGTTTATATTTTAGTATCTATCCATCTAGACATTTTTTCTTTTCTTTTTCATTTGTGATGTGGCCAATGAGGGGCTTTATTTCCTTTATATTTTGAAGTACATTCTAATACTGGGAACCTGCATTTTCCCCTAAATTGTAGGCTCTGGAAACATAGAAACTCTCTTTCTTGTTGTGCCATCTGCAGTATCTAGCCAGTGCCCGGTGCACAGTAGGTCTTAATAACTTTTATTTGTTGTCTGATGAATGAGTGAATAATTGAATGTTGTAGTTTCTCAACTGTGAGCTCCATGAGGACAGAACTGTATTTTTCTGTTCACTGCTGCAACCACAGAGACCGGCAGAGGACCTGGCTTTCAAACCTTTTGTTGAGTGGTGAATGAATGAATGATGAATAAGAGAGTGAGTGAATGAGTGAAGAAATGGTGATATATTCCTGGATTGCTAGCTTACCAGCTCTCTGAGGGCAGCAGTCATGAGTTCATCCTTGTGCCTCCCATGATATGTAGTTGAGGGTCTTCTGTGTGTTTGTTAAATAGTAATTGACTATAATACTTGCTCACTCTTTGGACTTATTTATGCATGCGAGTTTTCCATACATACAATTTTTTTTAAAAAAGGGGTTTTTCTATATATATTATTTTGGTTTTTTGGGTTTTTTTTTTTTTATATATATATGTTATTTTGAAACCTACCTTTTTCATTTAACAGTATATTAGGGCTAGTTCTCCCACAACAATAAATATAACTTTAAACCAAGTGTGAGGAAACTTTGTGGTAGAGGGCCAGGTGAAAAATCATTTTGACTTTGTGGACCCTTTGGTCTCCAAGGCAACTACTCAACTCTGCTGAAAGCAGCCACAGATGACAGATAAATGAATGAGCCTGGCTGTGTTCCAATCACATTTTATTTATAGACACTCAAATTTGAATTTCATATAATTTTTATGTGTCGTAGAATATTATTCTTTTGGTTTTCTCCAACCATTTAGAAATATAAAAACCATTCTTAGCTCATGGGTCATACAAAAACAGACAGCAAGCCAGATCTGGCCTGTGAGTGATAGCTTGCCAGCTCTTGCTCAAAATGTAACTTTGAATGGTTACTTAGGTTTGCAGTGTGATGTACAATAATTTATCAGTGGGTGGTTGAGGTGGGGAGAAGTAAAAGATGTGAAATGAGGGTGTGAAGTTTCTGGTAGGCCAGGGTATTTGAAGGTTGATTTATGTACACACTGACGCCACCAGGAATGAGGACAACAGTCGTGGTGGTAGAGGGAACAGTAGTGTGGCAGGTAAATGGTGGCACCTGGGAAGTTGATAGAGGACCTGAGCAGGGAGGGAGAGTCAGTGGCTTATCTGATGACCTGAGCTTCAGGAGAGACAGGGTCTTGGAGGAGGAGGGAGGAGAAAAATTGTGTGGGCACATCAGGGGGACATCTGCCCACCCCTGGGCCCATGGGGTGTGAGAAAGAAACATCCATCGCTGGAGAGGGGCTGTAGGGAAAAACAGCACAGACCTTAGGCTAAATCCTTATAAGTAAAATCTCTGCTTATAAAAAAGAGGATGTGCACTTTAAGGTATGTACTATTGCCCAATTGCTGTTTTGGTGGGTTTTTAAAAAATTTTTATTGAATCATAATTGATTATACATATTTTGGGGGTTCAACATTGACATATGTTGATCAAATCAATATTACTAGCATATATATTGTTACAAATTGTACTTATTCTTTATGCCCCTTGTCCAATTTCTCCCCGTCCCCCTCTCCCTGCCCCCTTTCCCCTCTAATTACCCTAGATTCCTTCTCTCTTTCTGAAAAAGTAATGGTTATTCTGTTGATTTGTTGCCTAGATGATCTGTCCAAGGCTGAGAGGTTTGTTCAGGTCCCCCAGTATTATCACAGAGCAGATGCTTTTGTCACTCTGAAATGGGCTTTGTGGAGAGAGACATCCTCTTCTTTTCTTTAGTCTCTGCTGGTGACTCTCCTTGTGTCAGTGCACTCCAGTGGCTGGCGGACCATCTGCATGGTGGTTGTGGTGTCTAGCTGCTTTCGTGGCAGCTGTGGTTATTGTGGTGGCTGTGGTGGGCCACCCACATGGAGGTGATGTTTTTGGCATGCTCCTTGGTGCTGGTGGTGTGCCTGGTTGTGGGGGGAGGTCTGGTCCCCAGATCCATGCCTCAGGTCCCTACGTGGGTTCCGAGGCACTTGCAGTGTGCCTGGTTGTGGGAGGGGGATACAGTCCTCGGCTCCATACCTCAGGTCCCCAGGTGGACACCAAGGTGCTGGTGGTGTGCCTGGGCTGGAACTAATTTGTTGTCCTTTGCTTACTTCTAAAATGGGGGAACTTCCTGTGGGGACCAGTACTTGAGCTCTGTGGTTGAGTAAATTGCTGCTTTGCTGCTGATTCCCTGGTGAAGGCTTTTCCAGCAGCTCATGTTTTAAAGGTTGACTTTATTGGTGCTTCTGGCTCTCCGGAGACCCTGTGCACCTAGGTTGTGTAGAAACCCTGATCTGAACCTGAGTCTTTTCATCAAACTGCACCCCCTGCAGATCTATATTCCTGACCAGTCTCCTCTGAGTGGTCCTGCACTGATTGGGGAGCAGATCAGCTGTCCTTGCTGTGTCCCAGTGTTCTCCCAGTGGGCCCATCTTCCCCACCACCCATGCCGCAAACACTTCCCATGGGACACGCTGTGCACTGGTCCCTGGTGGTGACTCACCAGCCTCTGAGTGGCTCCTTTTTTTCAGTTGTTGTGGCTCCTTGCTCCTATGTGGGTCACGGGAACCCTATTAGTGGTCTTGCTGGCCTGAGGACCACGAAGGCCCTCTTCTTCCCTACAGCATCCAAGCAACTTCGTCTGAAGGGCACAGCTGCAGCTTTTGCTGGCTCCTGCTTCATGTGCTCAGCAGCTCCAGCCTTAAAGTGGCCGTGGCATGAAATGGTCAGAGTGGTTTTTTCCTTTCTGTCATTGTGGCTTCTCCTGCCTTCATGCACTTTGTAGTCTCTCCTCCTCTTCCCCTGAGCACTAGTGGCCCTAGCTTGGCTGTCATTGCTTTTTTATAGTTGTAACTTTGTTGATTTGTGAGAAAGAGTGATGCTGGGGACTGTCTATTCCTCCATCTTGACCAGAAACTCCTCCCAATTGCTGTTTGTACTAAATGTAGGATTTCATCTGTGGCTGTGAGGCTGCCTATTTTCCCTCACTCCCACAGGCATAGGCTATCACCAATCTTTTATTTTCATCATTTTGTGTCTCTTTTTTGTGAATTGCCTATTTATTTCTTTTTTTCCTTTTTCTACTGGGACATTTATCTGCCCCTTTATTGGTTTTTAAGAGCTTTCTTGGTTTACCCTTTCTTGTATACATTTCAAATTCCCTTTCTTTGCCTTACAATTTTGAATTTTTATGTATTTTAACACATTTTTTTCTTATATGGTTTAGACTTTAGTGTTCTGCTTAGAAAGTCTTTTCTAATGGGAAAGTTATGAAAATATTTACCTATGTATTTATAAGAGGCAATAAAATGTAGTTGTTAATGAAATCATACTGCCTAGGTTTGTATCCTAGTTCTACCACTAATTAGGTTTGGGGCCTCCGTTTAGATGGTAACCTACCTCGTGGTGTGGTTGTGAGGACTGTATTAAAGAGGGCAGTACTAGTTGCTAGAACAAAACAACCCCCAATTTCAGTGGCCTACCACAATGAAAGTTTTATTTCTCACTGGTGGAACAATCAAGTGAGGTGCTCTTGATCAGGGGCTGGTTTCAGAGACCTGGGCACCTTCTATCCTGTGCCTTCATCATTTCTGCAGGGCCTCGGGGTCACACAGCTGGCAGTGGGAGGAAGAGCGTGGAGGAATGTGGGCTAGGCCTAGAAGTGGTGAGCATGTCACATCCACTCATATTCTCTTGGCCCAGTCATTTGGCCACAAGGGAGGTTAGCAGAGTGCTCAGGAAGAGGAGAAAATGAGTTCAGTGAGAACCCTAGCCAGTCTCTGCACAAGGATTGACTGAGTTAAAATCTATAAAGCACTTAGAGCAGCAGTGGCATACGGTAAGTGTTCAGTAGGGATGAACTATTGCTGCTGCTGTTGTTACTGTTATTATTCCAGGCTTTCCTGAATTTATGTTAAAGTATGAAAATGTTTTACAAAACAGTAAGCTGCTCCTGACCACAGACCCTCATTCTCTTCCTCCCATCACCTGTATTTTCATTCTTCATCTAATCTTGCTGTATACTGAGAGCAGGGAGAATGTGTCAAGAATGAACTCCCTCTACCTCATGACCTAGTATCTCTGTTTACCGAAATATGAAGTTTTGGGAGAGTTCATTTAAATTATATTTACCTTTCTTCTAGGAATGAAGGAAACCTTTTTTCCCTTAAAAGCCTATCCAAAATTCAGATTGTATCTTGTTTCCTTAGTATCCTATTCTTACTATTTTACTCAACTTGAACTAGGAATTGCCTCCACTTCTCTAGGGTATCTTTGCTTTAAGCTTCAGAAAATTATAATTTCAAATTCCACTTTTCATACTGTTTACTCCATATGGATGTATAAAACTCAAAGAGGTTTGTAAGAGTATTGTGTTGTGCTGCACTGAGTTGTGGCACTGCATATGCTGTGATTAAAATGGGTTTCCTATTCAAGGAATTGAAGTTGGTGTGCATGGTTATCCTGTAGGACTTTGAAAGGTTTCGGGGGGCGGGGGGCGGTACCCTGGAAATATGTTTTGCCAGCTGCCTGTCTTAGGAGGCCAGTACACATTCGGTTCAACCTCGAGAGGATAGGCTTAGAGTGAGCTCCCAATTAACCGCATGGGTTCACTTCCATTTGAGGTCCTAGGGCACGGCACATAGCAAGAAGTAAACGAGGAGAGGGATGTGCAGGCCTGTCCCGCAGCCTTAGGATGCAGTCTTGGGCCAACAACCAGTCTGATCCCTATTTCTTGGAATCAGGCCCTGGATTTCGCTAGCTTATAGTATTTCTCAAAGGTTCTACCTCATTTACACATTGCTGGAAAGGTCGATTGATATCATCTTTTGTGGAGGGCAGTTTGGACATACATATCTGTCAAAATTGTGAATGCTAATACTCTTTGCCTTAACAATTCCACTCCCAGGAACTTATCCTATGGATATACTTGTGCATGTGCAGCATGTTCCAGGTCTTTCATCGCAGCATTATTTATTTGTAGAATCAAAAGCTTGAAAATAACCAAAATGTCTTTCAATAGAGGACTGTCTAAATAAATTATGGTTTATTTATATGGTAGAATAAGGTATGCAGCCTTTTACAAAAGAATGAGGGAGCCTGGAGAGAAAATGATGTTTAAGGTATTTTTTTTAATGAAAAATGTGAAGTTAAGCAAAAAGTACTGTATCTAGTATGCTACCATTTGTAAAAATGAGTAAAAAGAAAGATGTACATATCTGCTTGTATGAATATGTACACAAAATATCTCTGGAAGCATAAATAAGAAACTGATAATGATATTGTCTTTGTGGAGAGCAGCTGGGTCACTAGAGGTCAAAAGTGAGAGAGAAACTTCACTGTAACCTTGAACTTAGAACCTTGTAAATGTACAGGGACATCATTGCACAACTCCAGGGGCACCATTTACTTGTAGCTTTCAGGAGTGGTACTCCCTGGGTTGTTCAGTGGCCACATGGGGCTACATTGTAGATGCATTCTCTTTTGAAGACCAAAGAAAACAAAAAATCTTGGCCAGTATAGTTGGTTATTATTCTTTATCATATATTTTTTGGAAAGTTTTTTGTGTATGTTTGTTTTTTAAATAGAGATGCATTGTACTGGCCATAATTATCTTAATTGTCCGATCCTAAACTGTTCAAAATTGGTTCTCCTCTTTGATTTTCATTAGACGCCCTCCTGCCAAACGGCCCAACTATGTCAAGCTTGGCACGGTGGCACCTTTCTGCTGCCCCTGGGAGCACTTAACTCAAGACTGGGAGTCAAGAGTCCAGGCCCAGGAAGAGTCTTCTGCAGCTTCCTCTCCAAATGGTGAGGAGACTGACCTAAGAAGACACATGGTGCCTTGTGTTCCCACACCTGAAAAAACTCACCAGCTGTCTAATGAAGTGGGCACATCTGTGAATGACCCCAGGGAGCCAGAAGAAGTAATGGACACAGACTGTCAAGACCAGGCAGGGACCAAGATGGTCATGTACCCGGATGCTGGTGAGAACCATGTTGCTGCTGCCAATAGTCAACTCTTTGTTCTTAGGTAAGTTTAGGCAACTTCCAGATGTATTTTGGGTTGTTTATTCTAATATTGAACAGGCTACAGTATGTAACAACTGTCACTGTTCCTTTATGCAAAACCCATGTGAATTTATGGTCTTTCTGGAAGGAAAAGCCAGTCCTTTGATGTTTCATAGAGGGCCCAGGGAAATGGCTTAATAATAGTTGATTTAGGGCATGATATTAATTGATGAAGTGATTGAAAATATTATCATCAATAGACCTAAACCAAGGTAGGTTTTTTTGATGCCATAGTTTATTTAGTCTTTGCTCACAAAGCAGTATCCCAACAGGTGGGATCTTAGAAAATGAAGAACCTCTGCATAATCTGAGCAGGCATTCTTTGCTTTAAATCACTGAATCAGATTTTTTTCTAGTTCCTTTTGAATTGTATGAATTCGTGGTGGACTGGCAACCCATTCAGTGTAATGTCATATTGTAGAGACTACCATAGAAAATGTGCCCTACTTTCAATACTGCTGCAGGTTATTAAGTTTTGCTTATCAGCCACCCTATAATCTGTGCCCTGATTTTAAAAAGTGTTCATCCCTCTTGCCTCCTACTCATTTTTCTGTAAGCTCATAATTTTATTTCTTCTTCCTTGCTTTAGTTTCTTTTCTCTTTAAAATATTATCTCCTCTGTAGTCTCATCATCTCACTGTGATTACTGCCCTAGATTCTATCCCACTGTTTGATTTTTCCCTTGCCTTCAACTTCTTAAACCTTTAGTCCTTTCAGTTTCAGAATGGCAGACACAAAAAAGAAAAATATTTTTACTAAATATATTAAGGTGTATTTTTAATTTTTAAGATTATAGTTTTGATACTTTTCCACATATAGTGTAAAAAAATCAAATCAACTCTAGCAATTTCTAATCTTCTAATTGCACAGTTTTTTCTTGAACAATATATCCTCAAACGTATTTCTCCAACTTGATGTAGGAGTAGAAAATTACTGAAGCAACTGTCAGCCTGGTGTGGACCCTGTTCTGAGGAGAGTCGGGCAGCCCGGCGAGCTCCTGGCAGAGGCCAGCAAGAACTAACCAGAGAGGCCTGCTTGTCCATCATGGACCATTTCCCCAGGGCCTTGGTGTGGGTCAGCCTGTCCCTGCTCAGGAAGGGCAGCCCCGAGCCGCACACCATGATCTGTGTTCCAGCCAAGGAGGACCTACTCCAGCTCAGCCAGGATCAGCACTACTGTGGGCCCCAGGAAGCCAAACACAGCGACCTGTTCAAGAGGAAGATCCTGAAGCAGAAAGAGAAGAAGAAACTGGAGAAGAGGCAGAACCGGGGCTGTGCCACTTCTGAGGGCCTGGGAGCGGGGGATCCTGCGACTGGACAGGAAGCTCTGACTCTGGGGCTGTGGTCAGGCCCTCTCCCTCGCGTGACTTCGCACTGCTCCAGAGTTCTCCTAGGCTTTGTCACTCAGGGAGATTTTTCCATGGCTGTTGGCCATGGAGAAGCCCTGGGGTTTGTTAGTTTGACAGGCTTGCTAGATATGCTGTCCAGCCAGCCGCCAGCCCAGAGGGGCTTGGTGTTACTGAGGCCTCCTGCCTCTGTCCAGTATCGATTCTCCAGAGTCGCTATTGAGGTGTGAATGAGGGTTTATGTCCTAGCAGGGCGTAGGATAATAAATTTGTTTGCCAAGTCCCACAACTGGAGAGTTTTGTTTTCCCTGTCTTCTGTTTCAAAATGTCATGTGAAATTCTTTGGAAATGAGAATTAAAAATTACATATTATGCAAACGTTGAAATGTTTACACCATTCTAGTAATCTCATTGATTTCCATCTTTCCTTGTCCTTGCTGTAATACTTTAAAAATTATTTGGCATGTATAGCCAAAAGCTTTTGTATTATGATCTCTTGATCTGTGTAATTCTTGCTGAGAATAATTAGAAGTTCTACGTTTTATTGTCCCTTTTTTCTGTTAGGAACAAAGTGCTGTCAGGTCTATTTGAAAAACCTTTTAGTCATGTGATAAGAAACAATACATGTTTAATGATTTGGTTGTTACTGAAGAAAAAAAGACTATAAACATTTGACCTCTGTACATGAAATATGGGCCCCGTATGGGCCATGTTCAGTTCTGTACTGTAATCAGCGTGCTGAATACATCGTGCCATAAGGAAAGAAATCATGGACGGTTCACTGCTTCCTGTTTTCAGGCAGGCTCAGTTTATGGCAAAGTGTTGGGCTGGAATTAGAATGGGAATCTATGACTTTATGATTCCTTGACCTCTCTGTTGTTGACATGATCCTAGGAGTTACTTAATTTTTTTTTAAGTAAAAAATGATTTTTTTTATTTCTGCAAAGAATTTCTCAAAGCCATAGAGTAGCATTTCTCAAAGTATGTTCTGTGAAATGTATTACCTAAAAAAAAGGGATTGCAAGGTCAGGTTGATTTGGGAAACTTTGGATTAAACAAAGTTAAGCATTTCTTTATTGAAGGACTTCTGGAACCTTCTATGTGATAATGTGCATTGTAAATCTCCAGGAAGTAGATAATAGTGTACAGTATTTTCTAAATCTTTTTGATCCCCAAACTCCTTTTTACAATGAGTGGCCTTGGTAGGATCAGAGTTCTTAGGAACACACTTTGGGCAACTTGGCTATGCAGTGCCATGGCTACCTCTGCAAGGTGGGTAACTAAACGACAAGCTGCTCTTCAACACTATGCAGGCACTTTGTCCACCTGAGGTCTTGAGCAGGGTATAAAAGAAAGGTCTCTTTCTGGGGCCGGCCCGGTGGCGCACTGCTACAGTGCGCCACTTGGGAGCGCTGTGGCGCTCCCGCCGAGGGGTCGGATCCC